TAAATGAAATAATTAGTACCTAAGCTCGATATTGCTCGATTCACCAATATTGTTTCACGATATATGAGCATGTATCGCTTCATCTTTGCTACTACTGTCTTGAGTGTAAAATTCAGAGATGTATAGATGCTTTGCCTCAACGACGGATTGTGGTTGTGCTAAAAGACTCACAAAATTGTTTGAATTGAATTCACTGTTTGCATCGATGAGAAAAGATTTTGTCAAACTACAGAATGAACGAACTAGTTGCCAAAAATTGCTGATTATTGTTCGGATATCATTGGGAGCAATGAATGAAACGTTGGCGGCATAGATTTCATTAATCCACTCTTATGAGATAAATAGACTTTGACACACTTCATAAAAAGTGACTTGAAAATTCGCGAATTCACTTTACTGTACAGTAAGCGATGAACAAGGACATTTAAGTGTAGTTGGATATTGATCGTAAAGCTTTTTGAATTTGTCTGCAGTTGTATTGTGTATCGTAATATTGAATACACGCGATGAAGACACTGCATAGGTAACAGTAGATACCATGAACACAAATAAAAGACCGAGGAAAACTCTAGTAGATAGTCTTTCATGACGTTTTACCTCAGCATGATTTGACTGCGATTCGTAGAGATTAAGAGTTCGAAGAAAAGTAAACTCCCACCACATTTTGCTATTTTCTATCTCTGATACTTGAACATCTTGATCAATTTATGAATGATGTGTTTTTTTCGAAGTAATTAAAGCCAAAAGGATTAGTAAAAGAGAGGTAACACACATTCAGGTGTATTGCTAAGTAGGTAACATATCTACTATTTTTAGGATATGATACATCTAACCGAATTTAACTAATATTACGAGATATAACTGTGTCTATGCCTGCGTTTGATCATTTTTTCTAACTTGTTCAGTAATTCTCTTGCTCTTACATTTGTGAGATAGTTTGTTTACGCGTTTTCTCATTAATTTCCGAATGATCGCTTAACAGATGTTATTTCTCTAGAAGAGGCCACACTTTTCGAATTTCTTCGACATCACTGATCTATACAGGACTATAAGAAAACATTTTCTGAATACTGTGATATATATTGATGTTTAACATTTATCGTCTCCACAGTAGGTATATTTATAGCATCTCTCCTTGAACGCATATCTCGAAGAAGATATTCTGAAAATATTTAATTCATTCAGTCTTCTATTTCTACAATGTCTCTTTTAAGTTTGTTAAATGTGGCATAAATTTTTACCATTCTGTGGAAATATCTGTCTAATAGCTCTGGTCTAGCTATTACGGGAACGTGAACACATCTGAAAACGAGTTCTTTAGCGTGCATGAAATATGCCTTCAATGAAGATTCTCGTAAATCTAAGCACAAGGTTTTGAATTACACACAAGAGGATTCATGTTAATTATGTACAAAAATAATATAATCTAAATTTGATCACTATATGTATTTGAGGATTGTACCCACACCCCACCCTTGAAACAAGTTGTTATCATGAAGAATATTTGAAATCCGTTCTTCATACGTTATTTGTTCAAATAGATTATTAGTTTAACTAAATAACGTTATAAATATTACAATTGCAATGGAATTTAGAACTTCAATTTATAACTATATAGTAATAAAAATAAAGTATTAGTAATCCTAGGTAACTTGGCTCTATTTCGTCTAGTTTTGCGTCAGACCGAGAAAGAAGTCTATATGCCTGTGCTCACTTCAGTAACTTCTTGGATTCTCCGAATTTCATCTTGATTCTGACAGTGTGAGTTCAGCTGTTTTCCTCTTGAATAATATATTGATCATCTTTCATTGAGTGTTTATTGAATATATGTTGAATCAAACGTAGAATGATGTTTCAACTTTTTACGAGAATATTGATTCACATAAGTCATAGATACCAAAGGAAAATATCTCATTTATTGATTTAAGTAATGTGAACAACAAAGGCTTTATAATATTTCATATGTCAAATGAGAGCTCATGTAAAGAATTTTCTAGTCATCTGGCACAAACTATGAGAAAAGAGTAAGTGTTATATCAACTAAATTTCTATAGAATGAAAAGGATCATCCATATTCTTGTAGTGCGCATAAATTGTTCTTTTATTTTATTTTTATCTTTTTCTAAAAAAATCAAAACAAGACAATATTTAATTAAAACTAAATCAACGACATGACCTTGTTTCAATGATATGATGTTCATTGTTGGGGTAATTATTCTAATTTAATACCACGTATTGATTTTGTAACATGTAGAAATTTAATCAAATTGTTGATCTTTGTATTATAAAAAAATTGATTGAATGCTTCTGTTTGAATATCAATTAATCGGTTACATTGATCACGTATCATATCAATTGTTTTATTAATATTTACTATAGAAGATTTTTCTAAAAATTTTTTCAATGAAGAAAGAAGATATTATCTATAACAAGCACAATAATAATCACACAGCTTTCATTTTCAGATATAAATACATTATTATAACCTTCAGATGCTGCTGGCCATAAACGACGATCTAAACTAATTTCTTCTTTATCTTCATTACTCGAATGAATATTACTTAGCAAATCATTAAATAAATTCACAATAAGATTAATTAAAAAATCACTTGATGAACATAACAATCCATCGTTTATAAAATATTCAACTAAAACATTTTGTGTCAAATAATAATTAGCACCAAATACACTTAAAAGAGAAAATGATTTAAAATAAAAACAAAATAAAAAACTAAAAATAACCTGAAAGACATTTATCATTAATAATCAATGAAAATGTTTTTATAAATATTTCTCGAACAGTATCCGATGAAAATGAAAATAATTTCAAAATTAATCTCCAATATTGATATTTATGTTTGATTGCCAACAAAAAAATAAAAAAAATAA